TTTTTTTTTTTTTTTTTTTCCTTCTGCTTTCTTTGTTTTCAATATATTTCTTTCTTGCTCGCCATCAAGGAAAAGGGATTTTTTTAATAAAAAAAATTCAGTTTTGTATTCTTTTCTTTTCTTTACAAGCTTTTCCTTTACTCCCTCTTCCCTCATAAATTCTGAGTCTTTCTGCTCTTTCCTAATTGGGTTTGTACATTCATTGTCTTTGGCTGCACCCCTTTTTCTCTTCCTTAGCTTCTAATTACTTTCCCAATTGGGTTAAGCTTAAATTGAGGCTGCAGAAAGACTTGTCAGTTTTTTTCTCTCTCAAAGTTGTCATTTTTATTTTGTGGGGGGATTTTATTTTTCTCCAGTGTCTCTGTTCCAGTTTAGTATCTGAGAGGGGTGTCAGTTTGTTCATTGGGTTTAGATCTCAAAACACAAGTGGTTCTAGGGTTTTCCTTTTGGACCAATTAGGCAATAATCTTGAACTTCAACTTGGAGCATTCTCTTTGATTTTTTTTTTTTTTTTTTTTCACAAAGTGGGTCTTTTGTAGATTCCTGAGGAGCATGCTTCCTTTCCTACACATAAAAAAAGGGTATTCTGATTCCTTTCAAAAAATGCTTGTTGATTTATCCTTGATAGTGTTGTGGTAAAACCTCCACCTCTGCTTGTCACTTATCTCCCTCTCTCTCTTCCTCTGAATCCACCCTGCTTCCCATAAAGTTGTGCAATCTTTCAACTGAAATCTGATCCCACAAACACACTTACACACTTAACCAAACCAAACCACCCTGAATTGCCTTGTAATCTTGTTTGTTCTACATGCTCCCATAGTGACATAGTTTTTTGTGTTTTTTCCTTGTGAGTTTGGGGTGATGAAGTGGGAAATGGAGATCCTCCCTCCTGCATCACCTTACATGTACAACTCCAGTTGGCTTCTGGATGATAACAGGAACAGCACCAAGTGGACCCCTGCAGAGAACAAGCTGTTTGAGAATGCTCTTGCAGTGTATGATAAGGACACACCGGATCGGTGGCACAAAGTGGCTGAGATGATTCCAGGGAAGACAGTTATGGATGTGGTGAAGCAGTACAAGGAGCTGGAAGCTGATGTTTGCAACATAGAAGCTGGTTTGATCCCAATTCCTGGTTACAGCACCACCTCACCCTTCACCCTAGACTGGGTGAACACTCCTGGCTATGATGGCTTCAAAGGACTCGCTGCTAAGAGATCCTCCTCTGGTAGACCCCCTGATCAGGAACGGAAGAAAGGTGTGCCATGGACTGAAGAGGAACACAAGTAAGTAGCAACCTTGTTGCTTGTTGTTCATTGCTTTGCTTTTAAATTTTAATTCCATATGTGTGTGCGTGGAAATACTTTGTATTTTGTTTCATGAATATATCCTAAAGCTGACAACAAAAGTATTGTGCTGTTTTATGCACTGACGGGAATCAATCCTGTGAAATACTATGTGAAGATTTTACTTTTTGGTTCTTGAAAATGTAAAATTAATGCACATGAGGAAAGTAAGAAGTAATGGATGTGGTTAAGTTTATGAAGTACTTTATACATGAACTTAGAGTAGGAGCAATGATGCTACCTACGTAGTTATTAAGAGTAAGATATTTGTTTTTGGTGTTTAGGTTTTTATTAGCTTTCATGAGGTAAGCTATATGGGTGGTTACTAGTTAGGTAAGTCAAATAAATACGCTCATGTGCTATTTATATCAGATGCTGGATTTTATAGCTTTAAACTTGACCATGATTTGTGAAAATTGTGCACAGGTTGTTTCTACTGGGGTTGAAAAAGTATGGCAAAGGTGATTGGAGAAACATATCACGCAATTTTGTGATTACTCGGACGCCAACTCAAGTTGCTAGTCATGCTCAGAAGTACTTCATCAGACAACTTTCAGGAGGCAAAGATAAGAGGAGGGCTAGCATCCATGACATAACAACAGTTAATCTTACAGAAAGTACTACCAGGAGTTCTCCTTCTGAAGACAGCAAGAGATCCACTTCACCACCACAGCCTTCCATGATGCTCTCACACCACCAGCAGCCGAATTCTATAGCCGCCTCGTCCGGCATGAATTTTCAGTGGAGCAATCAGCCAAATGGAGTAGCAGCTATGGCTCTCAACCCTGCACATGAACAAGTGTTCATGTCTCCTTATGGCCTTAACTCCTATGGTTTCAAGGTGCAGGGCCAGAGTCTGCACAGAAGTCCTCTTCATGAGTCTTCTTACTTAGGACCTCAGACACAGAACATGGTTTTCCAAATGCAACCCTCCCAACATTATTCCCATGCATGATGATGTGGTGGTTGTACTGAATTATTATTTATGGCTAGAACTAGAAGTACCAGTGTCTTTTGCTCAGTTCACTAGTACAGTGTCTATGCTTTTTACCATGTTTTTATTTATGTGAATACCTTACATTAGACTAGTAGTTAGTTATTGCCTTCTTGGTACATGAATTTGAAGGAAGGTGTTGAAATTCTGTTTCTTCATCAACCTTATAAATACTTGTTAAAGGTGAAAGCTGCGAGGCAATAGCCAATAGGAAAACAAGTACCAAAACTTCGGATTTGCTTAAGAATATTGGATTTGAAGCTAAGTTTAGAATGAAATGTTAGCTTTAAAGAGAAAAGGGTCACTTGTACTATGGCAAAGGCATTTATGTATGGGAAGGATACCACTGTTGGTGGAAATGTATTTTAAAGGAAAACAGCGAGTTTTTGAGAGATCCGTAATCTATTACCTTAGCAATGGTTCTTATAAGATAAGATTAAGATGCACGAATATATTTTGTACAAAGTGAGATTCATGTGGATTAATTAATTGTTTAATCAGAATAAATGGAAACATAAGGTACAAATGTGATTCATGTCGGATTAGATGGGTAATATATTCTTAACAAAGAAATTGGTCATGCACGATGGTTAAGACTGTTTGTACACTGTTGAGTGAGTAAATCCAAAGAAAGCATCGTAGTCATTGTGATTCTATGTGTACGGAACCTCTTGTTGAACATAATTTTAAATGCTTCACTGTTCTCCATATCTTGGCTCAAATCGTTGATCCCATTTATGGAGACAACCTAAACCTTTTTATCTCTCCAAAAAAAGGCTTTGGTATTTATTAATAAGATACTATAATAGATGTATATAGGTGTATAAAATGACTCCATTTCAGCACAGAAAAATGAGCCCTACTTTATTATGATTTATTTTCTCATTAAAAATTAGAATTTAGATGAGCAATATTTGCTTTAGAGTTTATATGGATGTTACTATTATAAATCATCACATAATATATATATATATGTGG